TGCGCATGGACTGAATTGTCTATCAGCTCACATGAGGATCTTTCTCACTGAGTACTTGTGCCGACTGCGCGTTGGTCTGTCGCCGACGGCGATTCCGCCTAAGTCCGAACTGAGCGGACTTGGATTCGCGCCTCACTCAACTTCTCGGGCTCGAATTAGCGATTTACGCAGGACGATACCTTGTCTTCTATTTCAATTTCCTAGTGTGGTCTCTCTCGGGACCATTGTTCACAATTTAAACGGCGAGCTATATTTAAGTCAAGCTAATCTTCTCACATCATGCTCGGTCCCTAGGCAATTCCCGTCCGTGGTCTATGAACGGAACATTTGATATACATACCTCTAGCTAAAACTACCTCGGATCACGCTTCGAATCTGCTCCGGCTCCTGTGCATGGGTTCTTTTAGTCTCACATCCCCCTGCCCTGTTCGCTCATCGCCATTAATAGCCCCTCGTCAATATACTCTGTTTGACATGCTACCAAACATACTCGCAAGTCAACTGTGGTCATCCCAACAGTGCACGGGAGCTCCTGTGGAACGGAACAGACTGTGGGACACGCTTCCTCACAGTTATAAAAACCAGCGGAAGGTCGACGATTCAGCAGTGCATCGCACACCTTCACCTGTCTTTCCCTTTAGTCGTCTTTCCTTTCCAATGGCTTTCACCCTTCTCATCGCTCTTTTTGCTCTTTCTGCCTCGGTGCGGGCTGCGCCCGCTGCTGGTGCTGTCTGCCCCGACGGCACGCCGGTCGGCAATGCCGCCTGCTGTCCTTTCATTCCAGTATGCTCCCACTCTTTATGTGTTTGAAGCTCTGTGCTTACTGGGTTCTTCAGCTTGCCAAGGATCTCCAAGCGAACCTTTTTGACAACCAGTGTGGCGAAGATGCCCACGAAGTCATCCGTTTAACATTCCGTCCGTCCTCATCTTTAAAATTGCCGGCATACACCTAATGCGCTGTATAAGACGATGCTATTACAATCAGCCAGAAGGGTGGTCCTTCTGCGTTAGTTCCTTTTACACAAATTTATTCTCCTCGGACTGATGGTGGATTAATTTGCAGGGGCGGCGGTGCCGACGGAAGTATGCTACTCTTCCACGAGGTGAATTTCAGCTACGGCGAAATCATGTTGGTGTCGAGACTCATGAATCCCCAGCAAGAGCCCGACTTCCCAGGAAACGAAGGCATCGACGATAGCGTCGATGCGTTGCTCCCGTTTTTGGCCACCCATAATGTTAGCGCCGGTGACCTTATCCAGTTTGCGGGTATGTCTCAGGTGCAGTCAAACTCCGCGGATCATATGTCTAAAGTATCTCTCAGGCGCCGTAGCCCTTAGCAACTGCCCCGTAAGCATTTTGCGATCCCAGTGATTCACAGTTAATCATCGACCGAATCAGGGTGCCCCCAAGCTCGAATTCCTCGCCGGCCGTCCGAACACAACCATTCTTCCACAGCAACACTTGATTCCTGTAAGAATTGAATCTATCCTCGCAGTCATGTTTCTGAATTGGGGTTGCAGCTTCCGGAAGACAATGTTGACTCCATCCTCGCTCGCATGGCTGACGCAGGCAACTTCTCTCCCTTCGAGGTTGTCAGCCTGTTATCTGCGCACTCGATCGCGCGCGCAGACAACGTTGACCCAACGATCAAGGCCGCGCCGTTCGACTCGACGCCCTTCATCTACGACACGCAGGTATTCCTGGAGGTCCTGCTCAAGGGTGTTGGGTTCCCCGGCACCGGCAACAACACGGGTGAAGTCTCGTCCCCCCTCCCGCTCGGCGACACCCCGACGGGGACCGACGCCGGCGAGCTGCGCCTGCAATCTGATTTTGTGATCGCGCACGACCCCCGTACCGCGTGCTACTGGCAGGGATTCGTCAGTGCGTATCATCTCCGCCACACATGTCAACCGAAGGTTAACTGGCGTCCAACAGACAAACAGGCCTTCATGGCATCGAGCTTCCAAGCTGCTATGGCCAAGATGGCGGTCCTCGGTCACAGTCGTTCGGACTTGATCGACTGCTCCGACGTCGTCCCCGCTACAGTCACGACGGCCGTCAAGGGCGCCAGGTAAATATAGCTGATCCGACAAATTGTCTTCATCTACTGACAGACGGCAGCTTCCCGGCAACCAAAGGCCCGGCCGACCTTGAGCTCACCTGCACTGACCCTTTCCCTTCGCTTACCACTGACGGTACCCTTGTTTGACCCCTTCGTCCGAGCTTCACACTGATGAAATTGCAGCTGGTGCCCAAGAGACCCTCATCCCTCACTGCCCGGACGGCAGCGAGGAATGCGACTAATTATTTGGCCCCGCCACTGGATCCCTTCACTCTTAATAGATTAACTTATTACACGCGTGTGGAGACCTGTATCCTACGTCTATATCCTACGTCTAAAATCTTATCTTTGTCGTGTTTCTCATGATGGTGGCAGCGACGTTGGTGCTCCTACGAGGAGTCCAGGTCGTTCATCTGTGCGACTATCTTCTGCAAGGCGGACTAAAATTACAATGGTATTGAAACCATTGCGATGAGGGACGCGCATACCTTCGTCCGGGCAGAGAGTCGTGCAGTATACCGTCCGATGCGCGCGATGGCAGCTTGCGCGGCTGCAGCGCTCGAGCGCATCGCTGAGCCACTTGTTTGCCAGCTCGAGGATGCGGTAGCCTGCTCCTCTGCGCGGAGTTAGCTAACGCCGTCGTACAGAGCAAGCTGGGCAGAAATACCGTTGAGCATCCAGCAATGTAGGCCAGCCCACCCCCGGCTGCCGAGTCGGCGAGCGGTCCTGATTCTCCGTTCTCATCCTGCGCGGACCGGTCGGCGTCGCATGTATGTGGGGCGCGCCAGAGATTCTGTAGCGGACGGGATATCCCAGGTCCGTCGGTGCATCCATCAAGTCAGAAGGCTGCCGGGGTGGCCTTCAGTTTACTGAAAATATCGGTGAAGGACGCACGTACCCTCGTCCGGATAGAGAGCCGTGTACGATACCATCCTGGTGAGGTGCATCCGCGTCCGTCCTGCGCGCGGTCAGCTACCCTCGTCGTACTTCACAGAGGGGATACGCACCATGTCTCGGGCGCGAGGCTGCGCGGAATGTGCCCCGCCAGTGCTCAGCGCTCGCGAAGGCACGTGCTGCAGCAGCCGGGCTTCTCCCTCTAGCACGGGCACGGTCCACGCGGCAACAACTCGCCCGTACGCAGCCGTCAGGCTGGGCGATCGATGCTTGGACGGTCCTCGCGGACAGACCTCCCAGTGCGTTCGTTGTGATGTGCTGGCGCGGGCTTCAGTGCAAACAGTCTCGCGATGTGAGTAGAACGCACCTCCGTCCGAGCAGTGCGTCGGGCAGGCTTGCAGCACGTGCGCTGCGCGCGGTCAGGTACCACGTCCGGGAAGAAGAGGAAGATGCACACCGCAATGAAGTCGAGAGACCCGCCGGGACGAGAAGCTGCGCCGTATGCGATATGCGCCGATATCATGAGACTGCCACACCTGTGCGCGCGAGGCCCCGCTCGCGCTGCTTCTGGAGCTCGAGCGTATCGCCCAACTACTCCGAGTCCTGTGCAAGCCCGAAGCTCGACGCGGGTATAGCTCTGCCCGAGATCAGCTCCAGCGTCCAGACATAAGAGTAGAGGGACGCACGGTGAAGGATCGGACAACTACGCTTGCAGCAAGGGCATCCCACCGCGTCAAGCGCATTCTCAAAGGATGACACGGGCGTACGTGTACTGGGAACACTGGGACGAGCACACCGCGTACCGCTCATTGACACCTCTAGGGAAGATGGGTATCTGCGCCATCGAGTATTCGAGCCGTGTGGGTTTCGCGCTCCTTTCTCTTCCTCGTTCTTCGTCGAGCAGACCACGCGCCCGTAAGCTCAGTACTACAGAACGGCACCGTCGCTCATTCCTGATGCGGGCATTAGTGTAGTGGATAGCGCGGGAAGCGGGCGCACCTTTGCCTGGCTGTCGAGCCCAGGAGGATGCCGCGCGGGCTAGGAATACTTACCTACGCGGCAGTCTAATGAAAGGGCATGCCGGACCTCTCGGCCGACGCCCGATTCGGATCCGGAAGGATTCGGATCATCATTTGAATCATACCTTGACCTCTTGAGTCGTCCAGGCGCGTCTCTGTGCACCGGACAAATCGCGTGTATCACTCAGGCTCCCTACATACAAAGATGGTTTGCATCCTTTTTTCGCCACGAACTGGTGCATCTCGCTAAATCTTGCTCGCCGTAGGCCCGTATACTTACTCAGGGTCTAATGCTCTACAAAAAATCGCACGGGATGCGCGGTGCATCCCGCTTCAACCTATGCCTATGGCTATACAGATGTCAATGTACTTCGAGCAAGAGCTGGGAAGCCCCGGATCAGGCCCCCGGTTCGACTTCCACACCAAAGTCGTTTGAACGAGTCCACCTCAAGCTTGCTGGATCTTGCCCATGCAATCAGGTTCAAATGCTCCACAAACAATCGGACGTGGTGTACGGTGCACCCCCCCTACAACTCAAGCGCTCGCAAACGGTTAGCAGCGGGAAGCCCGGGTTCGATTCCCGGCGTCCGAATGCGCAGCCACCGACAACTTTTTCGAGCAAGTGCGTCATCCAATTTTTGCATCCATACTTACTAGTACTCAGGATCTAATGATCTATTCTGAATCAAATATGCCGCAAATATGGTTTAACCCAAGCCAAAGCCCGCGTTGGTCTGCGGGCGTCTCGACGATTACAGCAAGTTTGCCGCCCTCCAGGTAGCATCCCTAACTAACTCTTGATATAAACTCAGGCTCTAAAGTTCTATAACAACTCGGACGTGGTGTACGGTGCACAACGCGTGAACGGTACAAACTGAACAATCTCTACAAGAGGACCGGGTTCGACTCCCGGCGTCCGAATGTGATGGCACGTATGAAACAGTTTTATTTATTTATTGAGCTTCCACCTAGTGCACCTCGCTAAATCTTGCTCAGATTCTCAGTTGCAGATGTTCTGCAATAAATCGGACGTGGTGCACGGTGCACCCCCACCCCAGTTGCACGGCAATGTCTATAGTAATAGAGCGGGAAGCCTGGGTTCGACTCCCGGCGTCCGAATCCAATTGCGCTGCGTATCCTTTTTCCTATTGGAGGCTCCCAGCTGCGGCACTTGACTAAATCTTACTCACGTACTGTTCAGGACTTACAACCCTATACGAACGCTGCTCGGCGCGCCCCAACCTCGCATCAATTTTCTCAGGACGGGTGCTACCCAGGTTCGACTCCTGGCGTCCGAATAGTACGCTGCTTTTAGGCTTTTTTTTTTGTCTCGAACAAGTGCGTCATTGAAATTCCCCCGGACATTTAGGTTCTAGTCCTCTATAGGAAATCAGATGTGGTGCACGGTACATACCCCGCGTCGATTCTGGCACAACCAACTGAGAGTCCGGCGGGAGGGCCGGGCTCGACTCCCGGTGTCCAAATCACAACACGCTATACATTTTTTTTTTTGCTCTCAAACAAGGGCACTTCACTGAAACTCCCTTAGATATTCAATTTCTAGCCGTATACAAGAATCGGACATGGTGCACGGTGCATGCCCGCGTCGACACTGTAACGACAAACTGAGAGTCGCGCGGGCGGCCCGGGTTCGACTCCCGGCGTCCGAATCTGGTGCCGCCATCCCATTTTTCTCTTCCTTTCTTACTTGACAATATTCAGAAAAAGAGAAACCTCTCCAAGCTATGGCCCAGCCCCGAATCGAACGGGGGCCGTCTGCAGATTAACTACACCAAGCTCCGAAAAGTCCACAGATGCAGTGCAGGTACTTCGCAACCTGGCTTTATTTTTTAACCGACCTGAAACTTTATTTGGTGTAGGCATTCTCAATGCCGGTGAAAAAAAGAATCTGTGTAGTACAGCAGATGGTCGTGCGCCGAATCAAACGGGGACAATCTGATCATCTCTTTTATATCCTTGATCTCAGCTACAAAATACGCAGCGCACGGAACGGCCCGGGCCTGGTCCCAAATTGAACGGCGACCTTCTCATTCAATTCTCATCCATCGGGCAGCTTGGATAAATATCTGATAGATGCACTCCAAGTGCTACCAGGCCTTCAAATTGCATGGTACCACTCCCAGGCCTTGGCCGTCCGAACTGGTTAACAAACATTGCAGGGCACGCATTATCCCCCTCATTGTGAAAGAATGCTCATCTGTACGTAAAAAAAAATCAAACACTTCCTTTCCGGATATACACCCTCAGTTAAGCTTATCTAGGTTGTTCGAATAGCCGTATCCATCCGATCTGAATTTAGGTGCAGACGCTCGCAATCGAAATTGGGTTATGTCTGTGTTTCCTGTGCTTCACCTTTTGGTGTATTGAACTTTCGAGGCAATGCAGACCTGTGCCTGCCATAGCCAGCGCTGATTGCACCGCCACGTAGTATTATATGTACCAAGACTACCTGACCGCGCGAGTTCCCATTCCGCCCTCGACCATGTCGATCGCTGAAGACGCGTCATCCAATTTTCAAGACATGCCGGAAAGCGAGATTATACCGAACCTCTCCAACTTCTCATCCACCGATCTCGCTCCCCTGGTTCCATTACTAGTATCATGGCTCGTCTGCCCCAGTTCCGACGAGGATGAAACCTGCCCCACGCGAAGAAATCTGTCAAGAGAAACGAGGGCCCAATTATCTGCTCTTCTCATCTTGCGACTCACAGCTGCCCGTCCGTCCACTGCGGACCCCCTCGTCGCTGAGATTCACACCATCCTATCCACGCCAAGCGTCACCGCCGAAAGCGCGGAGTTGAAGGGGGCTTTGTTCCACTGGCACGGCGTGCTGCTCTGCCTGCCCAAGGACCGCATAGAGGTGCACCGCGACGCCCTCACGCGGCTCGCCCTAAACCCTACTTCAGAGGAGGCCACATACAAGCTCAAATCGCGATGCCGATACCTTCTCGACTTCCTCGACGTGCCCCACGCCCACGCCCCGCACTCGAAATCCGACGAGCTAGCCGTGCGCAGCCTCGAACTCGTGCAGACCGCGGACGAAATGCGCCCCCTCGTGCCGGCGGTGCTCGAGTGGATCGCGGACACGAACTGGCCTGTTGCGGATGGGTGCTGGAACCAACTCGCGCGCTTCCCCGAGCTCACGATCGATCCGATTCGGGAGGTGCTGAGGAGGGGAGACGACGCGGGATGGGAGTGCAATCTCCTCACCTTTCTTTTGCGCGATGTGCCGCGTCCGTTACTAGAGGGCGTGCGACCGGAACTTGAACGAATTTCTATGCGGCCGACGGACGAGGAGATTGAATGCCTGGTCCAGGAGTTGGCAGCTGAATGCTTGGAGGTAATGGATCACTGGGCCGCGAGGACGAGGATGTGGGTATTCTGCGTTCCACTTAATTTGAGTGGCGAATTTTGACAAAGCCAACACCAGACTACCGCGCCGAGAGTCCCTTCAGGGAAAACTTGAAGGTTTCGAGATAGAAGTACAAAATATATAAAGGCTTCGTATCTATTTTGGGAAAAGGGGACCAGAAATCAGTCTACGCTTCGCAACCTGCAAACAGAATTGGATATCTACCTGTACACCCTCAGGATAAAAATCAGCCGTGTTGCGAGTCCCCAGCTTGCGAATTTCTTGCGCAGTATCGCGACTCGGGAGGAGTGTAAGTTTGATTCCCATCGGAGGCATACGGATTTATTCTTTCTCTTTTTGACCCTTTCACTAGTCTCCCCGCAAAGTTCGCGGATCGCAATCGAGATGGTTTCAGAGAGCAGACTAACCTCAGCGGCTGGTCCGACCCCAAGGCCAAGAGGACTCAAGCCCAAGCCCGACCCGACCCGACCCAAGCCCGGGCTTTCAAGCCCGACCCGACCCTGACAACACTAGGCGGAATGGAGTGTATCTACTTAAAACCGTGTTTTCGCACTATTGTAAGCTGTGGTAGGATAGATATTTTTCACAATACATTTTATTAAATGCCTACACACCACCTAATTTTTTCGTGATATTTGAAGTAGTGCTGGCCAAAAATATGATACGGTAAAATATATTTTGAATATATTCAACTAAATATGAATACGATACAGCCTCCCGGGTCAACTGAGAATATGAATACGCCTGAATATGAATATGATATGATATGAATATGATATGATACGGGGTTAACTGAACATGAATTGATGGGCCCCAACGTGCGAAGGGAGAACGCACACCAGACCTCGGAGAAAAGGCGTAGACCAATCGAATCAGGACCGGACGCAACTGTCTCAGCCAGAGCCGGGAGCGGCAGGTAGCCGCATCGGACACGTCGCGTGCGCGGAGCGTCCCACCTTGGCAAGACGAAATGTATTATTCAATAAGACTTCCTGATGCGCGAAGGAAAAGGAAAACACACGATCAACATGGTCCAAGCCCGAACCGAACGGGTGCCGGGACTTCAAGGAATCCTGTCATTGGCAAGGACGGGCCACTCCGCCTCGGGACCGTACTGGAGAATGGGGTTGATTGAACAGCGAGGAAGCTTCACTGCGCCGTAGAAGGAACGCAAGAAGTACCGTGCACGAAGGCCACGAGAATAGGAAAGCTGTGTTTACTGCTATCCACGACATGTCGGCGCCCTGCACCGTAGGGAGATGAAAAATGAGTCTTAGGAGTAGAGTGAGAGCGCACCGGTATACGACAGGCAGGGACTTATTGCTTGATGGAGGGTCCAAGCCCGAATCGAACGGGCAGTGGGGTAGTTCCCGCTAGGAAGAGCGCGGGGCTATAAGCCTCACCAAAATTCCGCGTTGACACTAGTCCATGGCCATGCGAGCGCACCTGTATCTGAGGGTACAAATGCTAGATACCGTTTCGATTTCGTTCGCCGCATTCAGACAGCACCAGCAGAAGAAGCCCACTTGAGTGACACGATAGACGGCATTTGAGGCCGGAAGTCTGTGCAGGAGGGATGCACAAGATGGTGGTTGGCAAGACGGAAGAGCCTCTCCGATCAGATCGGAAGTACACCAGCTGCTCCTGCCGCAGTTGCCCGATTGAGTAACGACGAGATTAGTGGGAGTGGGACCCGCGAGCCACAGACCGGAGCAGCAAATTAATAGGCCATATATTCGGCCTCTCTATGTCTCATAATGATTTGCGCCGCATAGAGCACAGTACAACGAGTTTTGCACTGAGATCAGGGCTCGGGGCACAATCTCGACGACTGTCCAAACATTTAATACAACCAACCTACTTTAAATTTTAGGAGTACATGTGTTTCGATGAGTTTCCGATACGTCCGCCGGTAATACGTGCAAAATGGAGCGACAAGGCATTTTGAACATCTAGTGCATTTTGATGCGCAAAGTGATCGTTGTTTTGGTGCCGCTGCCAATCAGGTGGCGATGCAGCCACGCATCGTCTCATCTTTTCACCACTGGCACCATCCCCCCTTGCACGGCAGTGCTTGCCCATCCGAGTCGCGCACAGGGTCTGGTCAACGTTTGGAACGTTCCGAGCTCATCTCCTCTGAACAACGCCATCGTTGACGATCTCGAGTCCCGTCTGCAGCATTACGGTGCGCGCGAGGTTTTTTTTGTCTTGTTCATGCCACTGACTCGGAGCTTTCTCGGTTTGGTTTGCGTTAGGACTTTTCTGCCTTCATCTTCTGGGGCCCAAGACATCGATGAGCATCATTTGCGAAGATTGTGGCCACCTAAATTGGTACCACGCGCGATTCCCGGCAGGCACCCCTTCAGCGCAACGCGCAGAGCTAGCCGACATTCAGCACCAACTCGAAGTGCTTAAAACCAGGGAAAGGGATCTGGAGGCCGCTTTGGCTTCTGTGGTGTATCCTGTCCTTACTCTTCCTCCGGAGATTACCTCCCGCATATTTCTAAAGTGCCTGCCATTCCACGGCCGCGTCCAGCCATCAGCCACCAAGGCGCCACTCGTTCTCGCTCAAGTGTGTCGTCATTGGCGGGATGTCGCACTCGCCACCGCACGGCTGTGGAGCTCCATTGACTTGAAATTCGAGGACGGCCGTCGGAACATTCCTGATAACGGGACAATACCGCTACTCCGGACATGGCTTTCCCGCGCAAAGCACAGTCCAATC